ATAAAAATCAGTCTTATTTGTATATAGGCCTATATGTGGATTATTTTTTAGATTGGTAGATAAAAGTAGACATCCATGTTGGGAAGGTGAAACATAAAAATAACTGTGTAAAAATAACTGTAAGCAAACTGAAACATGAAAAAATACCTGTAAGTGGTAACTGGTAGCAACTTTATAAGTAACAACTAGCTAACATGTTGGCTGAGGTTGACAACATTACACCGAAATCTTTTGTAATGTATGTAGGCTATGCTGGTTTTTAATTTAATACTATTAAGCAAAATCTGAAGGCTTTATCTATAAATGTAGCAGTAGCGGCAAAACTAGATATAGCTACTTAAATATGTGGCGGGAACTACCAGCCTACCGCTACCGTTACATTGCTTTAAATGTAGCACCACTGCCACGACTGAAAATGTAGCGGCCGCTACATGTGGCGCGCTACTGCCCACCTCTGCATTTAGTATTTAGTTTTGCTGCCATTTATTTCTGTGGTAGAGGTGGCTGAAGTCACCCCAGTTGATGCCTTGATGGTACATAACATGGTAACATATTTGATCTAAAAATTTGATACTAGATTTTCATTTCAGATGCAGACAACACATGATATCTTAGTAATTCCTAGAACTCAACTGATTAGCCTACATCACCACTCAAAAATGTGTGGTTTTGGGTCTGACCAGGGTAAATGAGGTATATTCCAACACATTAAGGACGTAGCAAAAAATGATTGGCTATAAAAAATCACCATATGCGCAACTCAAGTTCTGTTTGCTTCATGTCACTCTCAGAACACCGCACTAGCGGCACTACGTGCCAGCAACAATGAAACGTGACAAAATGTTGCCATATTTATTTAAAAGCTTTTAGAAGGCAAACATACCAAATCCATATATTTTGATGCTGTGTGTGACTAAATTACAAATCCATATATTTTGATGCTGTGTGTGACTAAATTAAGCATTTTGTGAGACTAATTCCAGCTGCACTTCAAACTCTACTAATTCGTAATTTGGACACTCTTGTCTTCGAATTCTGAGTGCTGTGTGAGCTGCATTGGAATACAACACAGCTTGGAATTAGAACACTATTGAATATTGAACACTACTTAATTAGGCCTTTAATTATGAGCTATTAAGCTTTTAATTAAGAAAATTTTAATTTTTGCACATAGCTCGGAACGAGCTGTGTGTGTCTAATTCCAAGCTGTGTCAGAATTAGTTTTTATATGTCAAAAACTGTCTCTTAACTTAATCATCTATTAATTTATTTACCACTTGAAATCAGCAAATACAAGTATACTTAATGCCTAGTTAACCCTTTTGCGGGTAAGTTACCATATTTGGTAATTAAAATAGGAGTAAAAAAAGGCCCCCCACATCAACCACAATGCTTGGGCAGCCTGCCAACAAGCTCCAACCAATCATAGATTGTGTACGAGTTACATCATGTATGACGTAGCGCTCTGACGCGCTTTTACGTCTGATTGAGCTGAATTAAAAACTAAGTACACTGGAGAAATGGCAAAATGGCATTTCAGGCTCTCATCATTTTCACTTTAGCAGCTCTAGCCCACAAAGCTATAGTTTAGGCTATGATAGTTGCTAGCATCATAGTTAAAAACTTGCTTTATCAACTGATTATGATGGCAAAAATTAGTGTGATCATATATGAGCATACACCCGCCAATGCTTAGAAATGGAAGTGACTATCTTTGGTCATATGCCCGCTTAAGGTAAATTTCTACAGCACTTAGTAAATATGTTTGTTACCATTTAGTGGTTAGCAGTATTATGATTTAAGCCATGTTTTTCAGTCTAACGTACCTATGAGGCTATGGTTCACCACTTGATGCTTTCCCTGACTTTTACTGCAGTCCAAGCTCTTGGCATTCCCTTTGCTACAGAACATAGAGCCAATGCGGTTGCAAGCAAGATGGTCTCTGCACTGACTTAGACGATAACATGTCCTTCACCAATACTAATTCTTACTGACAATTTTTTCACAAGTTTTAGGTATATGTTGTAAATGAATGTAACTCTTTACATATGGATGGATACTCTGGAAATATCTTGCCATAAAATACTTAATGTACCAATATTAATGTTTTTTTCTTTGTGTTTCAGACTCTACAGAGTCTTATATATGGTAATTTTAACCTAATTTCCAAACCGGTCAATGTTACCCC